CCAAAGAATAAAAGATCCATGAAAAAATAATCAATGAGTAAGAAAATAAAGTCTTAGTAAAAAGTAAATAAACGGGGGAGCAGAAACAACTCTTCCTCACCGCAAATGCAGAAAGGAGGGAAATAAAGAATCACCATTTGAATGCTCTAGCTACAGGCAAGACCCACTAATAAATGTTAAAATTAAAGGGGAAAACTTTAGAGAAACAGAGTATTTGCACAGCTTCAAGGTGTCTAGGAAATACAGTGGCAGCTTCAATGCATGTCCACAAATTTACAGATTCTCCTCACCTTAGTGACCAGCTTCTAATGAAAAGAATACGTGAAGGGGAAACTTCTAACCTGGTGGACACCACCTTCATGAAGTGATCAAGGGTAAATTCAACTAGCAACGATATTATGTACCCCCTGCTGTAATAAGGGTAAGTCACCCCTGTGCTATTCTTCCCCCAAATCCATAAGCGCAGCCTACTCACAACACCAGACACACCCAAACTGAGATCTGAAGGGTCAGGGCCACAAAGACAAAGGAAAGACAGGAACTGTCCCAGGCCAGAGGAGGGAAACTAGGGACACAGGAGGACCGAGTGCGGTGTGGTACCCTGCACTGGACCTGGGAGAGAGGACAGTAGTGGACTAGGTAAGAAAACCCAATTCAGACCAATCACTTAATAGTGTTCCATCAAGGTCGATGTCTTAGTTTCGATAAATGCACCATAGTCAGGGGAGACATGAACATTAGGGAAGTGGGGTGAAGGCTGTATAGGATGTCTCTGCATTTCAACTCCATTATAAATCTAAAATTTATCTCAAAAACAAGTTTTCCCAAAAGATAGCAACTTCAAGACAGAAGTTAGAAAACAACAATTCACAAGTCTTTTCTTGGTTTTTAGCATCCCTTTCCCACTCCAAAATGAAAAATTAGCCCAGGCTGGGTAGCTCAATTGTTAGAGTATCATCGCAATACGCCAAGGTTGCAGGTTCCTTCCCCAGCCAGGGCACAGACAAGAAGCAATCAACAATGCATGAATAAGTAGCACAACAAAAATCAATCTCTCTCTCTCCAGTCGATTTTAAAAAGTCAGCTGGGTTTATAACTAAGCAACAATCTGTTCTTTCTCACCAGGACAAAAAAAACACTATGAAATTCTGAAAAACGTAATTTCCTGTCCCTCAGACCTCACGGCACACAGGTGTGGCCACACTCCAGGCAGCCCTGACACCTCAGGGTGCATGAAAACGGGGTGTGCTTGAGGCACAGCCCGGGACCGGGGGGTGTCACGTTCACACCTTCCGGATTTGGAATTCTTCGGTGTTTTTGAATAGCTGGCATATATCTAACTAGTTCCCTGCTAGGCACACAACAGGCTTTATAAACTACTTCAGACAACTATTTGGATATCAGATTATCAGTTCTCTTTTAAGTAAAAACATGAGAACACCTAAAATACGTGAAAGCACTTTTAACAGATGTAAAGGGCCACACAAATATAAAATAATGCTATTATATGACCACTTAAGTTAACAGCCACCAAGGATGACATCCCTACAAAATGTGTCCCATCCAGAGAGCCAGCTTTCTTTCTCTGAATCGTCTAATATTTACTCTTCATTAAATACCTGAAATATCACACACAGCTAAGTAATGAGATGGGCCAGAGCACCGAAGGGCAAGTCTATCACATAAAGACCCTATTTACCAGGGCCACAGCCAGTGAAACTATTTCACAGTTACTTTCTGTTTATAAAACCCACTCTCCATGTTATCAATTATTAACAGCTCTTCACCATCATCACCCGGCTCATAATTTAGCTTTCCCAATCAAGGTATCCAAGAATATGTAAAACAAGACAAAAAAAAAATCTATTTAAACAGAAAGTTTATTTTTGAGATTTAAAACCATAAACCTAGTTAACTGCCACAGTGTGATCACCAACTACAAGTGAGGTTACAGTTGCTGAGTCTAAATTTAACTCCAAGGCTGGACGGGCAGTATTGCACTAAAGGTTTTTGCCCACTGGATGTTAACTGCCTGGGGGGTGGGGGGAGTGGAATGGAGGGGGTAGTTTTTTTTTAACCCACCTACTCTGAGAATTATCTCCCTTCGTTAAGGTCAATTAAGTTTCGTCCAAAGCAGTCTTAAAGCACAATTAAATGAACATAGTATACATATGTAAATTCTGAAATACTATTTTTTTAATTATTTGTTGAAAGGTCAAGTGGGTAATTTTATTAAACTGGCAAAAAGAAACTTGGTTTAGGTAACAAATTAAGCTTTATATTAAATTTCATCTTTTATTTAAACATTGCCCCTCCCCCGCGAACCATACACAATTCACAAACCTGTAAAAATTTAAAACGAACCTCTGCCCTTTATTTTCCATGCAAAGTACTAAAATAAGTTAAAGTAAAAAAAATTAAGTAAAATAATATAAATTACAAAAACCGCTGCAAAGTAGGTCACCAACAAACATTACCAAATCTCCCGATTGTTTTCCTTAGCAGACTGTCAGCTGAGAACAGCAAAGTGAATTAAATACAGAACAAAGAACTGCCTACTTTTCTACCAGTTAAGAGGTATAAAAGCTTAGATTGAAAGGATTTAACAACAAAAGTAACCTTTGACTTGGCTGAGGATCAGGGCGGCACCCAAGTCTTGCATTAGCATAATTTTTCTTTAATTCATTTGTTCCTGATAAATGAACCCAGGACAGAACAGCTAGGCTACCAACTGGTGAAATGGCAGTTTCCATCTTCCTGCCCAACTGATAACCACTTGTCTGAAGCCAAGAACTGTTCTTTTTTAAGAAGTATCTGAAGGGAAAAATAACAAAATTTTCCCTCCATTAATGCATTAAGATGATTTCATTGCTATATGTTACCTCAAGCAATGATAAAATTAGACTCAAATTTACCAGTTTAGTGTAGGTCATTATAGTATGTTTACATTTGATTAACTTAAAATGCTAATTCAACAGTTAACCGGTAAAGGCAAGTGGAATTGCTACAGAAAGGCAAATTCCAGGGAAAACAATGTTATCTTCTAAAGCAATCTGTTATTTATGGTAACACTGACATAGGTACAACTTGTCAATACAAAATTTCACTCATGTATCTTTTGCTCCTTGCTGTTCAGAAACACTGAAACTTTTGGGTAAACGGAAACACAAATATTAAGCTTCCTCCTAGTTTTTAAATTTACTTACAAGGATTGAGGATTAAATCGTGGGTTCTCTCTGACTGCAAAAGTCAAGACCAATCCCCCAAAGTGCCTGTACAAAATAATTTTTTTAAAAAAGGCTGAAAGCCATTCCAATCAAAATTAATTCGTAAGGATTAGTCTCAAAACTTTTATTGTAGTTTTATCTCAAACAGAGACACCTCCAATGTATGACTTGGCCCAGCAACACACGGACACATGCAACATTTCATTAAGCCAGGGAGTATAACAGCTTTCAAAAAACTGGAATATAACTCTACTAGAAAAATATAAACTCAAGTCTTTGAAATTGTCTTCTACGTTTACACAGGAGCCTCACAGTAAATGCTAAATAATGAACTAAAATGCAGACAGCCTGTCATCCACAGAAGACCAACTACCTGGGCAAGGGTAAGATTTCCAACACACCCCACTCGTCCGTAGTTCACCTAGCATAAGCTCCACAGAGGTGAAATGCACACTGTAACTGAGCACCATCCTTTCTTTCCATTCCAATTGCAAATTTTAACCTACACATGCTGGTGAGATCTGGAAGTCATGGCTCTGAACCTCATTTTCTTCCACTACAGAACGAGGAAGTTAAACGATGTTCTTGAAGGTCTTTCTCAAAATTCTGCTCCAATTTTTTTAAAAAAGAGAGAGATGATCCAGGGCTGAGTATCGGAGCCTAACTTCCTGCTGGCGGGAATTTCCCATCATCATGCTTTGAGTTTCAAATCTGACAGGGAACGCTGTCCATGTTCACTAGCACTTACTTCATTTTATTCTATACTTTTCCAAAAAGCTTTTAGGGCAGCACATTCATCAGCTTGCTGTGCGGATACATGTAGAAAGGAAGCACAAATGCTTTCTTTTCCTTTGTCTTTAAGCCCGAGTCCAACCCTGGTCTCCCTGGAAGCCCAGAACTGGCTCAAGTACAAATGCCGCTGCAAGGCTGCAGCAGTTGGACTTCGAGGCTGATGCTGTCCCCAGGGACTACTACTGCCCCGGGGCCACACAGAGCGCTGGAACAAAGGAAAAAATGGTCTCGGTACCTAGGAGTCAGGCGACCTGGATTCAAATACCTGCCCCTTACCGTCTGCATTCCTTTGACCATGTCACTCCATCTCTGGGCCTCCGAGTCTGCTGTAAAATGAAGAAAATCATCGAACCTACCTCATCAGTCCTTGTGGGAGAAAATGCGAGGCACACAAGTTGTTCAAATACAGTGCCGGGCACACAATGAGAGCTTAGAAAAAGTGTTAGTTATTAGCACTTACTACCCATGCACTCAGTGCTCCCCCTGGACTCCCTGTAAAACCAAAGACCAGCACTTCTGCTTCCCGGGTCAAAAAATCCTCATTGCACTTTCGTGTCGCTCCCACCCTTAAATAAAAGCCTCCCATGGCCCAGGCCAAGCTGAACCACCTTGCCAGTGGAGGAAAGACTCTGCGGGCGCGTGGGGAGGCAGACGGGAAATGCTAGCCGGCCCGCGCAGGGCCGCGCAGGGCCCCAGGCCCCCGAGCTCGCTCTGGAGCCGGGGCGGCGGCCGCGGCTCTCTCTCGCCCCGCGTGGCAGTTGGGCGCGGCACGTGCACGCGGCGGACACGGCCACGCGCGCTGGCGGGGGAGGGGGGGGGGAGTGGCGCGGGACGGAGAGCCTCCGCGCGCCCCTGCGCCCGCGCACCCGTCTGCGGCCGTTAAAGGGGGGGCACGCCTAGCACGAGCGTTAGCTCCATCTTCTCCCTCTCACAACCGCTGCAGCTGGTACTCGACCCCAGGGCGCCCACACCCCGCTGTACCTGCGCGGCTGAGCGGGAAAGGAACAAGCTTTGCTCCACAGCTCGGAGGAAGGAAAAACACCCTCACGCAACTGCGCCCGCACACACGCGTGCTCCGTCGCCGGTCTATATAACGGCGACTCAGCCTAACTTGTTGCGACCAGGTCGGGCAGGCTGAAGACCAATCCCAACGGTGTCCTCTGGGCCCCTGGAGCAGCAATTGGGTATTGACTCAGGACGAAGGCGTGACTCTTGATTGGCTTTGACTCATGCCTATGAGACTATGAAGATCTCGTTTCCCTAGTAACGGATTGACACAGAGAGAGGCCAATTATTTAAAATTATAGTGAGAAGGTGGGTGGGAGGCTTTTTGACTGATATCAACATAAGCCAATAAATGCGTGGAGCCGCTCCCATTCGTTAAAACGGCTTCCCCTGGGCGGAGACCCGTTTTCTAACGCAGGAGCGGTTGCTCCACAAGGTGGGGCCCGTGTACTTTGGGGAAGTAAACCCCAAGCAACTAGGAGGTGGGAGCCAAAGAGGCCAAGGAAGCCCTCGGCCAATCGCAACGCGGAAGGAGCTGATTGACGCGGGGGTAGGGCTGCACCAAGGAGACGGAGCTCCTGGGCCCCAGTGCTTCTGGGGCGGTTCTGTGGCTCTCCAGTCTAGGGTTGTGCCCTTTCTCCTTTCTTTTCCTCACTTGTTGGCTCCGACTCCTGAGGCCTCTCTCCCTCCTTTTCCGCAGATTGACACCGCAGTAACCAAGTGGTAAAGTTTCCTGTTGTTTGTTTCTTTTATAACAACTTATTTCCATGCCTAAGGGCACTTGCTGGCTCTCACCATTAATCAGCACTATCGTTGGACAGCTATTAAGGGAAGCCAAAGGAAAAGATAACTCCCACCGTATACCTAAGATCTTGTAAAAAGTCACACGTGAAGGCTGCGGTTGGGTGGAAGAACACAAATTGCCCTGCTGTTTTTGGCAAGTGCTGCTGCAGGTCAGCCCGAAGGTCGGCTCATGGGTGTTCACTGAGGTCCTTCCTTTTTTGCTGTTGCCGAGGGGCCGTAGTTTTTAAATTCTCTCATCTGCTTGGGCCTCGAACATCCTGTGCGTCACCACCATTGTCATTCAGTTTTCTAACCGCTGTGGGTGTGGGGGTTTATTTCTCCGGGTCATTCCATCTTTAAAAGGTAACTTGTCCGATTCCTATAGGGACATCCCGAAGATTTCCTGATACAGTTCAACGGCAAAGTGGCCCTCCAGCGACAGAGATCTGGTCCAGTCCACATCTCTAAGTGTATTGCTGGGCCCTCTGTTGGTGACCAAAAGCATTTTCTAAGGAAATACAAAGACACACCTGGGGTGCCTTCTCATTCCAGGCTTGTGACCTTGCAAGAGAGGCTCCCTTTAAGTTTTTTGCAGAGAAATTTAGAAATGAAGCACGTGGGGCGTCTCTTGCGAAAGAAAGGGTCGCGGGCAGCCGCTTGGCGGCATTCGGGATCGTCCCCGTTCGCCTCCCAGCCCCGGCCTGGCCCCAGGAGCGAAGTGAGAGGGCCCCTCGGCTCACTCCTCCTCCCCCACCCGCCCATGCCTCTGTCCGCCAGCGGCCTTGCTCTCTCATCATTTGTTGTGATTTCCAAGGGCCGGAATCAGGGATGATCAAGACGCTGTCCCTGCTCGCCGTCACTCATTCAACAGACCAGAGCGCCGCCCTTGGCCAGAAGCTCCCCAGACCCGGGAACAGGTGTTTGTGGCTATGAAGACACCAGAGGGAACTGAGCCCAGAGGAGAGAAGTTTTCCTGGAGTAAGGAACCACCGGTGCTGCCGAAGTTTTCCTGGAGTAAGGAACCACCGGTGCAGGATCGCGCTAGCCATGCTAAGGAAATTGGAACTTCTGCGAGCAGCGGAGAGCTCCTGGAAGATTTCTATTTGCATTTACAAGGTGACTCTCCAAATTGAACCGCTAATGAGAGCAAATTGGCAAAACTTTAAACCCACAAATTGGTCATTTAACCCAAGAAGCCTTTGATAGGGGTCAAGGCTATTCTTAATTTCATTTTGAGGGAATTTTAAGTGGTTACAGCTCTTTTTGTAAGGCTATTGGCAGTCTTATTAAATTGTATATATCCCACATCTTGGTTGAGAGCCACATTTTTATTTTTACAAAGAGGTATACGGATATTACAGTATTGTCAGCTTGTTAGACTATTTAAACTGAAAAAGTAATTGCTGAGTTTGCGAACTATTAATAATTAACTATTGCTATGCACATAATATAGAATACTATGCAGCACTTTATAAAAAATGAGATAGAGTTATACAGATATGGACAGGTCTCCAATTGTTCATTGGACTTCTAATTGAAAAAAATCAAGTTCAACAAAACATAGTGAAGTCTCGTTAAAAACAAAACAAGCAAAACATACCTCCTGATTTCTGTTTGTTAAAATAGGTATCTAAGATCATAGGAAGAGTTCCAAATTTAAAACAGCCCTGACTGGTATGCTTCAGTGGGTAGAGCACCAGCCTGCAAGCCAAAAGGTTGCAGGTTCAATTCCCAGTCAGAACGCATGCCTGAGTTGTGGATTCAAGTCCCCATACTGGGCATGTGCAAGAGGCAGCTGATGGATGTTTCTCTCCCTCTCTTTCTCCCTCCCTTCCCCTCTCTCTAGGATTGAATAAATAAAATCTTTAAAAATTAAAATAAAACAATAGTTCTCCCCCACCCAGGTTGGAAGTGATGAGGATAATGCATTACTTGGAAGTTTTACAATAAGACTATGTTTGTGTAAGGTGTGAAGGGAGGAAGGAAGGAACAGATCACCAGAGGGCAAATGTGGACAAGACCTCACAGGCTGTCACTGTCTTCCACAGGAGAGAGCAAGCTGACATGTTCTGTGCTGGTTCCCCTACTGACATCATACTCCCTCAGAACCCAATGCTGGATACTGAGTGACATGTTCAATGAATAATCTACCGACAGTGAATTGCCTGGAGCAATGCCTCTTACAATGGGGGAGGCAGGGGAGATTTTGCCCCTAAGAGACATATGACCTTCTCACAACTGGGTAGAGGTAAGGAATGCATAGGAGAGCCCCCCATGACTAACAATTACCAGGCCAAAAAGTTGCTGGAGAAACCCTGGTCTGCTTGTCTCAGTCATCTGGGGCGGGGTGGGGGGGGGGTGGATCCTGCTCAGCCGCCTACTGGGCTTTCCACTACTAAGCAAAACCAGCAGTTCCTCCAGTGCAGTACCTCACCCTCCTCTTCCTGCCATACCCTTCAGATTCAGGGAATCAGAGTGGGAAGACATGGGCACAACCCCAGAAAATACAATTTAGTGGGGGGAGTGGAAGGTTGGCAGAAAAGATTATGATCCTAAGGATATTATCTGGATCAGTTTCCCAAACATAGCTAGTCATTCATGAAGGGTGATTAAAAATACAGGTATGTGCCTGTATATAACTTAAACTCTCAGCTATGAACAAAGACCTACTATAATAATATTCATTGTAGCACTGCTTATAATAGAGACAGGCAACAACCCAGCCATCAGCTCTATGGGACTGGTTAGATATAATACTATAACAGTGCGCACTTACAGTGGACTGTCACGTAACCGTAGAGGCAATGAGGCAGATCTATGTGGACAGTTAGAGAGCAATCTCCAAGAAATACCGATAAATGAAGAAAGTAAAGTGCAGAATTATGGGAAGAGTAAAAAAGCGGGAGGGATACCTTGGGGCAATTATTTCTATGAAGATATAGTGTATTATGGGGCAGACTTCCAGTCAAGATGGCAGCACAGGCAGGCATGGCTCGCCTCCTCCCACAACCACATTGAAATTACAACTAAGATATAGAACAGCCGTCATTCAGAACTATCAGAAATCGAGTTGAATGGAAGTCTAACAACTACAGAATTAAAGAAACCACATCCATCCAGACTGGTAGGAGCGGTGCAGACACAGAACAGGCTGGTCCCACACCCATTTGTGGTGGATAAAAATTCAGGAGGGATATCTTGGGAGCAAGGAGTCCCCAGCCCAGGGTTCCAGTGCCAGGAACATAAGTGCCCCCAACTACTGCCTGCAAAACCAAGCAGGGATTGAGTCAGTGGAAGAAACTGCTGGAGCTCTAAGCAGTTCCTCTTAAAGAACCCACACACGGACTCACTGACTCAGACTCAGTCCCTCTGAGTTCCAGCACCTAGGTGGCAGCTTGAAAGGCATCAGTGGCATACAGGGAGAAGCTGAAGTGTCTGGCATCAAGGACAGCAGAGACCATTGTCCCTTTTCTAAACCATCCTCCCATAGAGCCAGCAGACTGGTGCCATATCTGAGACTCCAACAACCCGGCTAATACTCTTTCCCCAGCCCTGGAGATCTCCTAAGACTCCACCCAAACCAACTTTGCCTTTCATTATGAATGGCTGGTCTTGGCTTGTGCCTCACAACTTCCTAAATCCTATCAAACAAGCAACAGCTGGCCTCAGTGAGCCTCAGGCCCAGCACTAGCAGCAGCCAGCCCAGATTCACAGCTTGGCTTCACCTGGGAGTCTCTAAGCCCAACACAAGTAGCAACCATCTCAGATTGCTTTATAGCTTATGCAGGGTGTGCTGGGCAAAACACAGGTTGGGGCTGCTCTTGGCCTGCACCACCCAGGAAACCCCAGAATCTAAGCACCCAGTGGGCAGCTACAGACCAGGTCAGGACACCACCACCCTGACCCTGCACAGCTGATCCTCCTTGGGGGGAAGAGGGTTGTGGTCAGTGGTCACAGCCAGTCCTAGCAGCTAAATGGCCTGGGTAAATCCCTCTCATTGACCTGCCAAGAGCAATCAAATTTCAACTACAAGAGGAGAATGTATTCAACCCACATGAAGTATACACCTTCAGTACCCAGCTTGGATGAGAGGTGAGGCTGTGCTACTGGACCCTACAGGGCACTTACTACATTAGGCCACACAACCAAGACACCGAGTCAAAGCAGCTCTATCAATACATAGAAACACAGGGAGGCTGCCAAAATGAGGAGACAAAGAGGCATGGCCCAAATGAAAGAACAGTTTGAAACGCCAGAAAAAGCTAAATAAAATGGAGATTAGCAATCTATCAATGAAGAGTTCAAAACACTGGTTATAAGGATGTTCAAAGAACTTAGTGAGGACCTCAACAGCATAAAAAAGATCCAGTCAGAAACAGAGGATATACTAACTGAAATAAAAAACAATTTTTAGGGAAACAACAGTAGAGTGGATGAAGCTGAGAATCAAACCAATGATTTGGAACATAAGGAAGAAAGAAACAACCAATCAGAACAACAAGAAAGAAAAAGGAGTCCCCCAAAATGAGCACAGTGTTAGCAGCCTCTGGGACAACTTCAAGAGGCCCACATGTGCATCACAGGGGGGCCAGAAGGAGAAGAGAAAGAACAAAAAATTGGAAATCTATTTGGAAAAATAGTGAAAGAAAACTTCCCTAATTTGGTGAAGGAAACAGACATGCAAGACCAGGAAGCACGGAGAGCCCCAAACAAGGTGGATGCAAAGAGGCCCACTCCAAGACACATCAAAATTAAAAACGTTAAAGGTAAAGAGAATCTTAAAAGCAGTAAGATTCTTAAAAGCAGTAAGAGGATCTTAAAAGCAGTAAGAGGAAGAAAGTTTGTTACTTACAGGGGAGTTCCCATAAAACTGTCAGCTGATTTCTCAAAAGAAACTTTGCAGGCTAGAAGGGATTGGTAAGAAATATTCAAAGTCATGAAATGCAGAGACCTACAGCCAAGACTGCTCTGCTCTAAAACTATTGTTTAGAATCGAAGGGCAGATAGCTTCCCAGACAAGAAAAAGCAAAAGGAGTTCCATCACCAAACCATTATTATATGAAATGTTAAAGGGACTTAAGGGACTTATTTAAGAAAATTAATGGTTGCCAGATGGGAGGGGTATGTAGGGGAATGAATGAAGAGGTGAGGGGATTAAGAAGTACAAATAGAGCCCTGGCTTGCGTAGCTCAGTGGATTGAGCGCGGGCTGGGAACCAAAGTGTCCCAGGTTCGATTCCCAGCCAGGGTGCATTCCTGGGTTGCAGGCCATAACCCCCAGCAACCGCACATTGATGTCTCTCTCTCTCTCTCTCTCTCTCTCTCTCTCTCTCTCTCTCTCTCTCTCTCCCCGCTCCTTTCCCTCCCTAAAAAAATAAAAATAAATAAAATCTTTAAAAAAAAAAAAGAAGTACAAATAGGTAGTCACAGAATAGGCATGGAGATATAAAGTACAGTACAGGAAATGGAGTAGCCAAAAAAACATACACATGACCCATGGACATGAACAATGGTGGGGGGGATTGCCTGAGGGTGTGGGCGGTGCCAGATGGAGGGGAGCAAAGGGGGAAAAATCAGGACAACTGTAATAGCATAATCAATAAAATGTAATTTTCAAAAAGATATACTGTATTGCTATAGTTATCCGAATACATTCCTGTATGGTTTTGGTGTACATCCACTGATTATGTCTGGAAGGAGTCACAAGAAACTGTTAATGATTCCTAACAGGGAGCTGAACTTGGGCCAGCCAGAGTAAGAGAAAGGCTTAGTTTTCATTCTGTACTCTTCGATACTGAATGGCTTTTTAAACAAAATTCAATGTTAAATACAGACCTTAATAGTGATATGCATACAGTAGGCATTTAGACAGATATGCCAGCAGAGTAAGAACCATAGGCCAGGTACAGAAGGTCACCAGGGCAGAAAGCTCTGGGTGTCTAGCCACGGGCAATAGTAGGGTGGGACCTCAGCCCTGAGCACATCACTGGTCATGAGGGTTAGACCCCCTGAACTGTCACATTGCTGGTGATGCGGCCGGACCCCCCTCTAACCTTCCTCCTCTGGCACGTCACTAGTCATGCGGCAGACCCCCTTGGAGGAGGAATGAGACGGGCCGTGGAGTGCCTCCTACATCTCCCACACGGCCCCTTGCATGGCCACTTTCTTAAGCATTAGGCCCTCAGGACAATGAGGTTCTGAGTCCCAGCAAATAATCTTTAAAAAAAAGATTTTATTATTTATATTTAGAAAAAGGGTGAAGGGAGGGAGAAAGAGAGAGAGAAACATCGATCAGTTTGCCTCTCACACATCCCCAACTGAGGGTCTGGCCGGCCACCCAGGCATGTGCCTTGTTGACTGGGAATCAAACTGGTGACCTTTCAGTGTGTGGGCCAACCCCCCATCCACTCAGGGACCATCAAATAATCTTAAGAATACCGAAGAGACAGAGTTTTCTTCAAACTAGAGATAACATCTAGGCCTCAGCTGCATTTCAGCTCCAGGACCAGAAAGGCAGCAAAACCAGATAAATGACGCCAAGGCTGACATCAGGACCAGCTACAAGGACTGGTGCTCCGGGGCCCTGGCGCCAGTCAGTGGAGACAGGACCCCGAGGAGACACACCTGGAAGGCTGCTGACTGTTCCACGGAGATCCTGTCCTGAGGCGGCCAGATAAAAGTCTTTCAGACCAAGACCCAGTGCTCCCTCGTATTCTCTCTCTCTCTCTCTCTCTCTCTCTCTCTCTCTCTCTCTCTCTCTCTCTCTCTCTCTCTCTCTCTCTCTCTGTCTCTCTCTCTCTCTCACCTGAGGCTTCCCCCCTCCTTCCCCTAAGTGTGTACCTTTGCCTCCTTCCTCCTGAGCTCCGAGGACCCTCCTTTTGCCTCTGTAACTTGTTTCCTGAGCCGCGCAGCCCAGCTGGCTCCTTCCTTCTACCTCTGTGGCCTTCTAAATAAAGTTTTGCCTGTAGTTGAGTCTTAAATATGAATTTTTTCTTAGCCAAAACTCAAGGACTGAGGGCTAACATCTGGTGCTGTTTGCCATTAACAATATGAAGAACTACAAATATGGCAACTTTGGACTTTAATACAAGATGAAGTTCTTTATTGCCCCTTCAGATATACAGGGGGTTTTGAAAACGAGGCACCAAGGTTTTAATCTGCCTCCTTCCCATACTGCTAACTTCTTTTCTTTTTGCCCCTTACCACACAGAAACCATACAAAGATCCAAAGACACCCTTCGCTGGCTTAGAAAAGCATGCTTTCGCCCTGGCTGGCGTAGCTCAGTGGATTGAGCATGGACTTTGAACCAAAGCATTGCTGGTTCGATTCCCAGTCAGGGCACATGCCTGGGCTGCAGGCCATGGCCCCCAGCAACCACACATTGATGTTTCTCTCTCTCTGTCTCTCCCTCCCTTCCCTCTCTAAAAATAAATAAATAAAATCTAAAAAAAAAAAGAAAAGAAAAGCACGCTTCCCTTGGCATTGACTGCAAGCTCGGCACCCCCTCAGAGTCTGTGGAGTGCTGTCCATGACCCAGGTGCCTTGCTACTGTTCTCTGCGAAGAGGACCTCATTTAATGCTCTTAACAACCCTATTTCCCATTTCTCTGAAACAGGCTCAGAGAGGTTAAACAACTTGCCCAAGGTCACACAGCTAGAGCTAGGAGCCAGGGCTCCCTGGTTTCAAGTCCAGGTTCTTTTACCCACTGCCCAAGGAAGGAGGATATAGCCCCCAGTAGGAAAGGGGGCATGCCTTCCTCAGAATCCCCTGAGAACCTGGGATGGTCTTTCCTTCTCTCAGGTGTGCCACCAGACAATTCTGTGTAGACAGATTTCCAGGTAGTTTGAGAATTTTGGAGTCCATGGCGAATCGTGGCAATCTGCAGCCGCAGTTCTTTGCAAGAGGGTTTTTGTAGCACACTCTATACACTCTCTGCACAGACCTAGCAGTCCTCACTTGCTGTGGCTTAGAAGAGGGACGACCACATTTGAAGTCCAAATGAATCGGCATGTATCAAACACCTACTATGTGACAGACACGGTGCCAGGCATAGTTTTTCCATTTCTCCTGAGGGAAATGCTGAAGCACAAGGTGGGCAAAAGGAAGTTTACAGCCGTGAGCACGTGAAACACAGAGTTTGTTCTTGCATTACTATTTATTAATTATTGTATTGTTTCCCATTCGAACAACTGTTAACCTACTTTTGACCCACCCTGTACTAACTCAAGTTTACAGAAGTAGCAACTATGGCTCAGAAAAGTTAAGTGACTGTCCCAAGGTCACATAGCTTGAAAGTGACAGAGCTGGTATTCAAAATCAGGTTACTATCACTCTAAATCCAAAGCCCAGCAAAGAAGAATGGAACTATTTTATATATATATATATATATATGTGTGTGTGTGTGTGTGTGTGTGTGTGTGTGCGCATGTATATGTATATATGTATGTATGTGTAGGTATATATGTACATGTATGTATGCATGTGTATGTGCATGTTATATACATATGTGTACACCTATGCATTTTATATACATAGGTGTATGTGTACACCTATGTATATATTATGTGTGCATATAGCTATTTTATATACATGTAAAATATAATGTATATATAAAATATCTGTATGTATATTAGCTTATCTAAACCTCAAACAGCTCATTTCAACAGATGGGGAAACTAAGACACCAAAATGTTAAATCATTGTTCAGTCACCAAATCATGAAAAATAATTACTTGCTAATACCAAATGTCGGCAAACGTGTGGGAAAACCCCCTCCTACACCGCCAGCAGAAAACATAGATTGGAATAGCCATCCTGAGGGAGGAGGCGGCAGCTACAATGGCCTTTCTCTGCAAAGCTGAGCCCCGGCACCTGCCAAGTGATCACTCAGCAGGTGGGGGCCAGAGGCGGGGTGCAGCAGGAAGAGGGCACCGACCACTGTGGGCAAACTCACCATCTGCACATGGCAGCGGTCCCCACACGCCTGTCCCCGCCACAGGGCTGTCGGCCAGAAGGGCCCAGCCCCCAGGCCCCCGGGCGGGCTTGGTGATGGCAAGGCTGGCCCGAGTTCACAAGGGCTGGTGATGAGACTGCTGGCAGTCTGGAACTCAGAATCTCGAACTCTTTTTCCCCCGCTGCGGTCCTTTTCTTAATATTCATTATAGAGAATATGGCAAAGAAAAGCAGGAAAGGAGACATTTAAAAATTACCTGTAAACTTGGAATGGTTGGGGGCAGTATACACAGATGTGAAGAAACACAAATGTGGTTGGTAAGGCTTAGGCAATGTGGCTGCATCACAATTGACAATGAGTCAGTAATTCCACTAGGGGTTTAGTCTGTGTAAAATTTTAAGCAAACATGTATGTATATAAACCGTCATTATATCATCCTGAACATTAAAAGACTGGAAGCAACCTGTACCTCTGTCAGTGGGGGACTGCATGTAGACTGTGTCAGGGGCGAGTGACAGGAAGTCCGAGCAGCAGTGGCTGACACAGAGAGGGCTCACCTTTCCCACAGAGCACGTCTGGAAGCAAGCTGCGGCTGGCGCTGGCTCAATGAGCACCTCCAGGACCAGCCTCTCTGATTCCCTTGGCATTCCCCTCATGGTTGCAAGAGAGTGCACGTGCGCTCTCGATATGACATCAGTATTCTAGGCAGCGGTATCTGTTCTCTTTTATGAGAAGAGCAAGAGCTTTCCCGAAAGGCTCCTTCCTAGCAGACTTCTGCTTTGAACTTATCATCCAGAGCTATATTGTACGAGCAAACTGGCTGCAAGGGAAGATGGGAAAGCAAGTATTTAGGGATCCAGCCTACACTACAGTACCAAGAGTAAAAAGATTGGGAATGAGTGTTGAATTAGCCAACCAATGATTTCTGCCATGGGGGCTGGTTAAATAAGCTGTGGAACAACTGAATGATATAGCACTATGTAGCCAAGATAGAAAGATAGAACACCTAAAAAGCATCCCCTACCCCCACCCCACCTCCACCCCACCTCTGCCCCTAGGCTGAGATCCAGGCTTGGTCCACTGAACGCCCTGCTGGTGGAACTTATGAGAAATCCACCCTCGTGGCTGGAAAACCACCTGCTAGGATTATGAAAGAAGCTAGTCACAGAAAGAGGCATCTCACTGAAGGCACTCTGCTATGAAAGCACACAACGAGGGGCTAGATACTGGGGGTGCTGCTGGCTGCTAGGTGCTGCTGGTCCCTGAGCACAACAGGAGCCTGGTGCTGGAGAAGCCATCCTCAGAAGCTGGGCATGGGGCAATCACACATCCTGCAAGGGCCTACTGAGTGAGCACAGTGGAAACAAGATGGAAAAACCTTCCCCTTTCCAGTCTCTACAGAGCTTTTATGGAGGAAGCTTACCATCTTGCCAGTGGACAAAGGAAAAAATATTTAAAGGGTCTGGATCCAGCCTTGGCTGCTGGGGCTCAGTGGGTTGACTACTGGCCTGTGAACCAAAGTGTCATCGGTTCGATTCCCAGTCAGGACACATGCCTGGGTTGTGGGCCAGGTCCCCAGTTGGGGGCATGCAAAAGGCACCACACATTGATGTTTCCCTCCCTCTCTCTCCCTCCCTTCCCCTCTCTGAAAATAAATAAATAAAATCTTTAAGACATATATAAAGGGTCTGGATTCTTTTTCACAGAGCAGACAAAAAGGATGAATTGGACCCAAGAGACAATGACCAGCAGTTTCTTAAAAAGGTTTCATGAGTTTAGACTACAGTTTTCCTTAACCAGTGGTTCCCCAAACCAGGAAGAGGATGGGGGACTAAAAGCATGCCTTAAAATTAAGAAGCAATGCATACAGGGTGAGGTCTAGAAATCTGAGGGGTTTTATTTATTCATTTATTTTTAGAGAGGGAGAAAGAGAGGGAAACAAACATCAATGTGTGGTTGCCTCGCACACGCCCCCAAATGGGGACCCAGCCCACACCCCAGGCGTGTGCACTGACCTGAAATCAAACCAGGAACCCAGGCCAGCACTCAATCCACTGAGCCACACCAGTCAGGGCTAGAAATCTGAGTTTTTAATAAGTTCTCCAAGCCCTCTGTTGATGGAGAGATCTTTGGAACTGCTCAGACTGAGCCCCTTTGGCAGAATCCTTGGATACTCCAAGGACAGAACCACCCTGGTGCTGTGTGTGTACAGAGGGGTGTCTGTCTGTGTGTCTGAAACTCCAAGCACTGGCAGGCCTGTTTCTCTGGAGCTGTCCTGGGCCATCTCTGCCTCCATCTGTCTTCACCTGTGGTTGTGGGGCTCATGCCTCTGGGGTTTCATGTTTCCATCTCTTTCTGTGCCTGCTTCTCAGTCTGAGTTATTTCCACCTCTCAAGCCATGCTCACTCTTGCTTTCTGACATTTATACCTGCTATTCTGTCTACCTCCCTCCTTCCCAAATTGCTCACCTTCCTTCAGCATGTAGGGGTTCATAATGACTCACCCCAAGACGAATCTCTGTGACATGTGGATTACTTTAAGCTAAAGGCAACTGAGCTCCATTGCACTCAAGAGAAACTTCTGCATGCCCCCTCCCAACTACTAGCAGAATTCAAATCAGAGGACTTGCCCATAAGGTTTATCACCAGAAATAACTTTCTAGGACCTATGTGTCAGGGCGAACTTCTAATTACTGAACTTCTGCCCTTCTTATTCTGAGAATGACCTTCCTTCCCTCCAAAGCCCCAAACACCCTACCTCATCCTTCGCTCACAATGTGATATATTTATTTCCCCTTTCTAACTCAAAACCTCTCATGTACCTGGGGTCTCTCATTCATGTACGTGACATTTCATTCAGGTATGTTATTAAATTGGATTATTTTCTCCCATTAATCTGTCATGACAATTTAATTATTAGACAAGCAGAAAGAACCTTGGAAGGTAGAGGAAAGTTTCTTTCTCCTCCAGCATCAGGTAAACCTGTTCGCTTCTCCTTAACTCATTTATTACCTCGGGCAATAATCTCCCCTCTCCCTCCACACACACACACACACACACACACACTCTCTCTCTCTCTCTCTCTCTCTCTCTATTCTGAATTAGAGATCCTCTCTCTGCTCCCATGACACATTTCCTTTAACATTGCAATATCCTGCCGTGCTTCGTTGGCTCCCTACTGGGCTATGTCTTTTCCACCACTGCTTTTGGAGGCCTAGTACAGTTCTGGCTCATGGTTGTAATTCAATAAATAGTGACTGAGTAAACACAGCAGGTTGTCCTTTTAGGGAGGGACGGGGTCTGTCCTGTTCACTAAGGGGCCCTTGTATTCCTAAAGGCCCTAACAGGAGCCTGAATCGAAGCCAGCAGCCCGCAAAGAGCCGACGGGAGGTAGATGCCAGCCCAATAGGTTGCAAGGCCTCGCTCCTAAGTTGCTGCTGTCCGGGGCCACGCCCTCCGGAAGAGGGCGGAGCGACCAGGCAGTCAGGCTGCTCCGACCGGCCGGGCGGGGGCGGGGCCTCACTGCCGGCAGGGCGGAGGGGGCGGGGCCTGGCCTGCGGGGCGGCTCCCCGGGGCGCGCAAGCCTGGAAACCCAGCAGCTAGAGTGCTCAGAACCTGCAGGAGCGTCGCTGCTGCCTCCCACGGTCCCTTCAGTCATGCCGGTAAGTGGCCGCCCCGCCCCCGCCCTTGCCCAGCGCAGGTCTGCGGCCCCCGGCCTGCGCCTCGGCTGCACAGTTGCTTGGCCAGATGTCGCTCTTCCAGGGCTCAGGCCGTGCCGGGACCTATTGCCCCTTCTCGGCCCTCCCCACCCAGCCCCCTGCTTCTGCGAAGCTCCAGAAAGTCGAGTGCGAAGGGGGTTTTAGGTAGGAGTCAGGCTTCGGAACATCGGAGCCGCCGCAAGGCCTCCGGCGGCAAGCCCACACCTTCCCTGCAGAGACGGGGAAACGGAGACCCAGAGCAGGGCAGAGAGGAGCCCGCGAGCACACGGGGAGTGGGTGGTGAGTGGGAACTAGGACTCCCAGTTCCTGCCCTTCCGCCTGGTGCGCTTCCGCGAAGCTGGCCTTGGGAGAGGGGAGGGGGTGGCTAGGGCCTTGCGGACCAGGAGGGTTTTCAGAGGTCCGTATTTTCCTTCGCTTCCCCTGCCCGCTCTGGCCGACTTTCAGGTCAGGGCTGGACGACACTGAATGGAGACAGTGCTTTGCCGCTCATTCTCTGAACCTGAACCCAGGAACCCCGGAGAGGTTCAGGACCTGCCCAACGTCTCCTGTTGCTTAGTGGCAGGGTTTCAGGAGGACAGAGGAGGTCTTCCCCGGTCTTTGCCGCTTACTCAGTCTTAACCGCAAATATCTAGTAGCTCACTGCCTCATTGTGCAGATAAGAAATGAAGGCCTCTTAGCGCACTTTCCCGGTCGGGCGCGCGCCCCCGCCATTCCCTACCTCCTGTTCTTCGCCCCACCCACGGTTTGTTATCTTCGCCTTTCTCTCTTCTAAGCTCCCAGGGCCCTTCTTTGGCTTCTGTAACTTGTTTCAGAAGCCCAGCGGGCTCGTCTCTGTAACTTTATGAATAAAGTTTCTCTTATAATTTGAAAAAAGAAGGAAGGGAGGAAGGAAGAAAGGAAGCAAACCTTTTGCCAAAAAGAAAAAAAAACACACACAAAAAAACCCCAAAGCTCATAATTTATGCAAGGTTGAGTTGGACGATGGATGGAGCCAGGATTAATCCTCTTATCTTCAGATGCCCAGTCTTTCCTGGCCTGGCCACTTGGTAAGTGGACAAAAGTAGTCCCTTTGGCTTGGGAGGAAGCTTTGATCCCAGCTGCATCCTAGAGATCCTGGTTGGGTCAGGTGGTGTTTAGCACTTGCCCCCAGGGTGCTGAGTTCACTGCTCTGCTCCCAGGGAGTACTCAGAGGTATCTCCCAGATGCCCTGTGTCTTAGCCTCCTAGTTTGGGGAAGCTGACAGATGAGCCAGAGGCCCCTTGGGCTAAGCCACAAACATCACAGGTGTCATTTCCCTTGGGTCTTGCCGGGTGCCTTGCGACAGATCCTCAGACAACACAAAGTCTGGACAAGAACCCAGCAATATTGGCTCCCAGTTGAACCAGTCTGCCTGTGGCAGGGTTAGAGGACAGCATCAGTCACCCCAGGACTGGGGTAGTGAGGCCACCAGGGTTGTTTTTTTTGGGGGGGGGGAGGGTGGCCAGCTTGAGGATCACTGTCCTCTGTTCACTTCTGAGGATTTAGACAAACAAAAGACTCATCAGAGGGGATGGTCAGTAGGAAGAGGGCACTCGGTGCCCCATCTCGAGATGAACAGCCGGAGGATGGAAGATTTAGCAGAGGGCCTGCCATCAAAACTGAAAGGGGAAGCCTGCCTCCTGAGAGGCTGGTGTCTCAAACACTTTCAGTCTCAGAAACCTATTTGAACACCTGCTCCTGCTTGCCAACCCGATGCTTTTGGGGAAGCCGCTTTACTTCTCTCGGCCTTGATTTCCTCATCTGTAAAATGGGGGTAAAAACCGGCCTCCCAGGACTGTTAGTATGGATGGGAAAATGCCAGCGAAATACTCAGCTCAGCCACTGGCACAGCTAATCCACAGGGAACGCTGGCTGTTGCAGAGACCCAGGACAAGTAGGGTGGAACTACCGGCGGGCAGACTTCAGACCTCAGACCTCATTTTGACAAGGACTACGGTGGTTGTGGGCTCAGGCTTTGGAGACTGTCCGGTCTAGGCCCTGCCACTCACTGGCTGTGTCACATTGAGTGAGCAACCTGACCTCTGAACCTCAACTTCCTCCCTTGTCAAGAAGGGATAATAGTAATAACTTACAGGTTATTGTAATGATTAACCATTGTAATTCACAGAGGTGCCTAGGGCCAGGTCTGGCACAGAGGAGGCCCTCAAATGTTATTCGTGGTAAACTCCCCTTATTTGGGGCCTTCAGAGGCTGAATGTCCTGGCGCGTTGAGAAAGAATTCCTTGTCTGAGAGGAGCTGGACAGCACGACCCCACTCTGTCCCCGCCTTGCCGAGTCTGAGGCTCTGTGAAAGAACTGCCACTCCTTGGGCTTTTTCATCGACCTTGACGAGGCCCTGAGGGGCTGGAGCCGCACCAGGCCAAGTCTTGGGGTTCCCTGCGAAGCAACATGGCTTCCTCTGTTGGTTAAGTAGATTTTCCCACCACCATCAAATTTACTTTTGCAACTCAGAGGTGGAGGAGGAGAACCCGCAGTGTGATGTTTGTCACCCAGAAGCCACCACCAGGCGTCTGACCTCTGCATGATGGAGGCTGGAAGGAGACCTGCTGTCTAGTCCACGCAGCAGGAAGCTTCAGATGTCTGCTGACTTTAGGTCCTTAGGCAGCAAAAACTCCTGCTCCTTCATGAGGTGTCCCCACTCTCCGAGGTCCCGCCCAGAGTCAGGGTGGTGGGGGCGGCCATGCTGTTTGCTGGTCCAGAACTAGCAGGGAGTCCCTGGAGCCAGGAAAGCCTGGGTCCACATCCCAGCCTCAGCACATGCCTGCACAGGGACTGCTTTAGGCTTCTCGAACCATGTGGTCTGTTGCAACTACAGACGTACCTGGTTTCATTTGCAGTTAGCTTTATTGTGCTTCACAAATGTAGGTTGTTGTGTTTTGTTTTGTTTTGTTTTTACAAATTAAAAGCAAAACCCTCCACCAGCAAAAAGATGACAGCTTGCTTTATGGTAACGCCCGCTGCATGGCGGCTGCCTGGAATTGGACTCATGATGTCTCCGAGGTGTGCCTGTTTGGGGGATGTGGCAGCGAACTAAACAAAGCGTCTGCCTTCTGGGAGCTTAGTTTGTTAGATACCATGGAGACCGCAGGATGTCGAGCCTGTGTGACGCCCCCAGGAGCCTGGCCCCCCATGCTGGGCTGCCCTCCCGCTCCCTGGAGCGTCGCCACTCCACCCGCTTCCCAGGAGTGAGGTGCTGCCTCCGAGAAGCAGGCATCTGTGTGAGGACGGTGGGCACTGTGTGTCAGAATCACCAGGGAAGCTTTCTAGCCATGGTAGACGCTCCAGCCCACTCTTGCAGGTCAGAGCCTGTAGGTTTTACAAGCTCCCCGGTGATTCTAATACCAAAGGTGATCGTCTGATGCATAAGTGAGACCACCCAATCGGCATGGCTCAGAGGATGGGCGACCGCCCTTGTCAGAGCTGACGTTGCTGAGATAGCCCCATGCCTGAGAATCGGGGTTTTGAAGGTGAGACTAGAAGCCAACATGGTAAACTAGCTTCCCAGCCGATTCAACTCACTGTGCGCCCGACACTGCTCAAGGAGCTGGGGGTGACCTCATTTGACACCATAGCCTGTGAGGCACAGAAATCCTCGGTGACTCCACTTTGCCACTGAAGACAGTGGGGCCCAGACACAGGCCCCTTGGGAGTCGGACGGCAGCCAGGTCTTCCTGTGTCTCTGCCCCTTGTCTTGGCCCTTGAGTGGGCTGCATGCCGGTGGGGGGTGCGGGTCTCTCCGAAGCGCTTGGCTCATGGTCCCCTTTGTTTGTTTCAGAAGCACGAGTTCTCTGTAGACATGACGTGTGAAGGCTGCTCGAATGCAGTCACTCGGGTCCTCAACAAGCTAGGAGGTGAGTGAGTGGCCCTCGGTTGGGGGTGAAGTGGGGGAGACCGATAAACTTTATGTCGTGTTCAAATGCACGCAGACACGGAGCCGGAGAAGCTTGAGTTTAAGCTGATAATGACGGTAAAACTGCAGTGTATTGAGTACCTAGCATGTGCCAAGTACTCTGCTTGGTGGCTTTCATTTAATCCTCACAACCAGTTCGGTAGCTTCTTTGACTATCTCCATTATAGTGGAGGACTGAAGTTCAGAGAGGTTAAGTAACTTGCCTGGGGCCACGCAGCCAGTAAGCGGCAGAGGTGGGATTTGGCCTTGCAGTCTAGTTCCAGAGCCCTGTCAGTACCAGTTGGCATGTTGGTGATCTCCAGTGGGATAATTTTTGTTATATGACACATCTGAGTGTCATTTCCTATTAAGACTTTGTAAACTGTAACAACTTGAATCAGTCATGTGTAGAACTCCTAAAGCGCCTCTTTTGGACATATTTAGAAAACCATTATACTTTTCTAGCCCCCCCAAGTCTCAGCTGGGGAAATGGAGGCCGGAGAGGGCTGAGGTCTGGCCCTGGGGCTCCCTGAGGTCAGGGCTGAGCTGCAGTCAGAATTCTGGTAGTGCTGGGCCAGTCAGTCTTCTGAGATGTTCATTTTTTTTTTAATGTATTTTCAGAGAGACAGGGAGGGAGGGAGAAACGGAGGGAGAGAAACCTCGACATTCAAGAGATGTATCCATTGGATGCCTCTCCCACACCCCGCACTGGGGACCTGACCCGCAACCCAGGCGTGTGTCCTGACCAGGAATCAAACCAGCGACCTTTTGGTTCGCAGGCTGGCACTTAGTCCACTGAGCCACACCAGCCAGGGCAGACTTTTATTTTTTAACCCTAAATAATAATAACACCAGATTTTCAAAGGGCTTCCATTAGGTGTGATCTCGTTAGCATTCAAAGCAGTTTCCTGAGCTGTATGTTCCATCAGTGGAATGAGGAGGTTGCGGAAAGAACCCTCTCTGACTCGTCACCTGACCGTTGCCTCTTCCTCTCTCGGGCCTGAGTTTCCCCAGCTACCATGTGAGAGTGAGCGTCTGCACCTGCTTTTGCTGCAGGCGCTCAGAGTGAGCTGCTGCTCGGAAGCCCCTCATATACAGAGAGGCACGGTCTGGATGGAGCGAGGGTGGGACTGCTTTTCCACGGCTCGAGGACACCTGCCCAGGAACCTGGGCTGCAGGGCACACAATTTGAAATCCAGTGTGTTAGATAGTCCCAGAGCTTCTGGCGCGATGGTGTCAGAGGAGGGCGACACTCGTGAACCAAAAGACAAAAACCCAGAAGGCAGCACGGATGCATTGTAACACCCACCCACCCCAAGCATCCATTCACTAGAGTTCAGGCGTTAGGACCAAATCTTGCACCACGTGATTTTTAAGACCCTTTGACTGTCACTTGGGGATCTGCTCTGAACTTGGGGGCAGGTTTCTCCCTACCTTTCACTACTGTCCCCACTTGGGTGACCTCTTGAGAAGGCTCAGAAGGGTTTCGAGTTGGTTGGGGCCCTAGATGAGCAGTCCTGGGCCAGAGGAATCACAGACTAATGGCATACTTGAACTTGGAAAGACCGTAGGGGCTGGCCAACCCCATCTCCTTCAGTACAGATGGGGAAGGTGAGGCCTGTAATGGACAAGACCCAGCCAGTCGGCGGTGGAGCCACAGCTCGAGCCTGTGAGGGGACTCCCCTCTGCACTCGGCGGTCCCCGGAAGACCCGTTCGACACGCTCCCTCGTGCTGCTGGGGGCTTTGAATCAGCACAGCCCTTGGAGAGGGCAGTTCTGCAAAGCCAGTTAACATTGAGAAGGTGCCAGTCTGTTGCCCCACAGTTTCCGTTCCGCGAATCCATGGAACAGAGATACTTTCGCAGGGTTTACAAGACATGGTCAGGCATGTTGACTGTGCCGTTGTGGTAACAGTGAGACACTGGAAGCCGCCTCGGTGTCCTTCCGCAGGGGAGTGAGGAGCTGCAGGGCACATCCCCACTGCGGATCACGGTGTGGCCGTTAGAAAATGATGAAGTGCGTCTGGGTGTGTAAGACGGCAGGGTGTCCTGGCCACGGGGAAGGGACACAAAGCAGGACCCGTTTCTATAGTAGGACGCCGTTTGGGGGGTTATTTCCCATCTGTCTGTCGGGGAAAAGCCTGGAGAGATGCCCCACTATTCGGAGTGATCTCTAGAGGGTGAAGAGAGTAGAGAGAGGCCTTACACTTTCCGTTTTATCAGAAACGTTTGCCCTTTTTTACCGTGGTGTGTCTCTACTACCTGTGCGAGTCTAGGGCGGGGCCAGCAAACCTCCGCCTTACAGGGAGAGTCTCCCGGTCGCAGGTGTGGGGGAGCCCGGAGCGGTGGCTGTGAACAAGGACGGCAGAGCCGGGCGCTTCCTCGCTCTGACTGCCGGGGCCCCTGCGTCCGCAGCCCGCCACCCTCACTCCACCTCCTCTCCCTGCAGACATTCAGTTTGAGATCGACCTGCCCAACAAGAAGGTGTGCATCGACTCCGAGCACAGCGTGGACGCTCTGCTGGAGACCCTGAAGAAAACAGGGAAGACCGTCACCTACGTCGGCCCCAAATAGCGACGGCCTGGACCCCTGGCCCTCGGGGTGGACCAAAAGCGGGCAGGTGGGTGAAGTGCCGGCACCCCGACAGAATGGTTGGCCGTCTAGTGCAGGTCACGTGCCCAGCCCTCTGCGGTAGAGGCTGCGCTGTGCGATGCCTCCCGGGACCCCTTTGGTGACACGGGTGCATTTCACGATCAGCCATGTTTAAGTTGAGAGCACATGATGCTGAACAGTGTGTCTGTTGCTTTGATCAGTTGACTGTCCCATCAGAAGCAACCCCTCTGCCCCGGGGTTTGTGTTGCTGGGCACCGACCAGGTAAGTTAATTCAGATTGGTGCAAACCAATCACGTGTCTAAGCTGGAAATCCCCACCAATTTTATGTAACCCAGGGGGCACATAAGTGGCCCTGTGCCTGCCCCCTCCCCTACGGGACCGGGGCAGAGCTTACCCATCCATCCAATATCCCCTCCACTCCCAGACCCCTCCACAGCCCCACCTGCCCAGCTGTCACTGCCCTTGTCCTGCATGTGGTGCGGGAACTGCAGTGGTTGCCACAGGCCTGTGCGCTCACTGTCACAGAGGAAAGTGAGGCCTGGAGCGGGCAGTGGCGGGACTGAAGCCCCACACCAGCGAGTGGCAGAGGCAGGGTGAGAGGCACCCGGAATTGGGGTTTTGTAGTCACTGGTGGCATTGTCCGCTGACCGGGCCCGCGGAGAGCCCCCAGGCAGAGGCAGCCAGCCAGGCCTGACGAGTGGGCATGCTGGTGCCCCACGGGCACAGCCTCCTTCCTAAAGGCTGCACTGGAGGCTGAGCTGGGGCAGTGTCCTGGGTGAGTAGCGACCTCACATGTGAATCATGAGATGTCACATGTGTCTGTGTCCCATGCACCCTTTCCATCTTTGGATGCAACTCATGTTCAGGACGAGCTCAGGAAGGGTACTCAGGATGCCAGTCCTGCCCTCCTGTCATGCCTGAGCTACCGTGCCCGAGTCTCAGTCTTCCCATCTGTAAAAGTGGGCTCCACCCTCTCCGCTGCTTCCCTGCCTGGCAGGGGTTGCTGTGAAGCCCCTCTGAAAGTGAAGGCTTAGCTCAGAGAGGCTGAGGGCTCCAGCATGCTGCAGATAGTACCTGCCAGCTGTAAACCAAACTGGGTTTAATGTTTGTTTCAGTATTTTTCTTAAATTGAGGTGAAATTCACATAGCATGCCATTTACCATTGTCTAGTGTACCATTCATAGACATTTTCGTGTATTCACAATGTTGTACAGTCACCACCTCTCCATAGTTTCAAAAGCTTTATCACCCCAGAAAAATTCCCTGTACCCATTAAGCAATGTCTCCCCACTGCCCCCCACCCCCACTCCCTGCCTCTCTGGCTTCACCTGTTCTGGACATGGCATAGAAAAGGAATCAGACTTCCGGTCAAGATGGTGGCACAGGCAGACATGGCTCGCCTCCTCCCACAACCACATCAAAATTACAACTAAGATATAAAACAGCTGTCATTCAGAACTATCAGAAATTGAGTCGAATGGAAGTCTGACAACTGCAGAATTAAAGAAACCACATCCATCCAGACTGGTAGGAGCAGTGCAGACACAGAACAGGCTGGTCCCACACCCATTTGTGGTGGATAAAAATTCAGGAGGGATATCTTGGGAGCAAGGAGTCCCCAGCCCAGGGTTCCAGTGCCAGGAACATAAGTGCCCCCAGCTACTGCCTGCAAAACCCAGCAGGGATTGAGTCAGTGGAAGAAACTGCTGGAGCCCCAAGCAGCTCTTAAAGAACCCACACATGGACAAACTGACTCAGACTCAGTCCCTCAGAGCTCCGGCACCTGGGTGGCAGCTTGAAAGGCACCAGTGGCATACAGGGAGACACTGAAGTGTCTGGCATCAAGGACAGCAGAGACCATTGTCCCTTTTCTAAACCTTCCTCCCATAGAGCCAGCAGACTGGTGCCATATCTGAGACTCCATCAACCTAACACTGTATGACCCGCTTGGAGATCTGCAGAGACTCTGCCCCACCCAACTGACGGACACTGAAGCTGCCTTTATATATGAGTGACTAGTCTTGGCTCCTGCTCACGGCTTCTTAAATTCTGTCAAATAAGCAACAGCTGGCTTCAGTGAGCCCCAGGCCTGGCACTAGCAGCAGACGGCCCAGATTCATAGCCTGGGAGTCTCCAAGCCCAGCACAAGTAGCAGCCATCTCAGATTGCTATATAGCTCAGGCAGGGTGCACCAGGCAAAATGAGTGCCAGAAGGAGAAGAGAAAGAGCTAGAAATTGGAAATCTATTTGAAAACATAATGAAAGAAAACTTCCCTAGTTTAGTGAAGGAAACAGACATGCAAGTCCAGGAAGCACAGAGAGTCCCAAACAAGATGGATGCAAAGAGGCCCATTCCCAGACACATCAGAATTAAAATGCCAAAGGTTAAAGATAAGGAGAGACTCTTAAGAGCAGCAAGAAAAAGGAAGTCAGTTACTTGTAGGGGAGTTCCCATAAAACTGTCAGCTGATTTCTCAAAAGACACTTTGCAGGCTAGAAGGGATTGGCCAGCCCTGACTGCTGTGGCTCAGCACATTGGGTGCTGGCCTGTGAACTGGAGGGTCACTGGCTCAATTCCCCATCAGGGCACATGCCTGGGTGTGGGCCAGGTCCCTGGGTGGGCAGGGGGTGGGGGCCGAGTGAGGGACAACCACACATTGCTGTTTCTCTCCCTCTCTTTCTCCCTCCCTTCCCCTGTGTCTAAAAATATATACATAAAATCTTTTTTTAAACCTAAAAGAAAAAGAAGGGATTGGCCAGAAATATGAAAAGTCATGAAATGCAGGGACCTAAGCCAACGTTGCTCTACCCAGCAAAGATGTTGTTTAGAATTGAAAGGTAGATAAAAGAGCTTCCCAGAAAAGCAAAAACTAAGAGTTCACTATCACCAAACCATTATTATATGAAATGTTAAAGGGATTTACTTAAGAAAAAAGATCAAAACTATGAACAATAAAATGGTAAACAACAACAACAACAACAATGTATCAACAATTGAATCTGAAAAACAAACTAAGCAACCAAGAACAGAGACAGAACCATGGATACAGAGAACATTTTGATGGCTGCCAAATGGAAGGGGCAAGTGGGGGATGGGTGAAGAGGTGAGGGGATTAAGAAGTACAAATAGGTAGTTACAGAATAGTTCTGGGGATGTAAAGTACCATGTAGGAAATGGAGTAGCCAAAGAATTTGTATGAGTGACCCATGGACATGAACAATGGTGGAGGGATTGCTTGAAGGAGTGGGGGGGTGCTGGGTGGAGGGGAGCAAATCAGGGAAAATCAGGACAACTGTAATAGCATAATCAATAACTTATAATTTTAAAAAGGAATCACACAGTAGGTGACTTTTTGTGTCTGTCTTCTTATACTTAGCATGATGTTTTCATGATTCACGTGAGTGGTAGTGTGGGTCAGTGCTTCTTCATTCCTTTTTCTGGCTGGGTAATTCTCACGGCAGTTTTTATTTCAGCTTTTTCTGTCACAGGAAGTCTCACCCATCTGCAGGTGGAGTCGTAAAGATGAGCGCCCGTGTGCTCCTCACCCAGCCCCCGCAGTTGTGCAACCCCCAGCCTCACACTGTTCCACAGAAAATTCCACACATCCTAGAATTTCATCTGCACGTGTCTCAGTGACCGCGTGCAGTGAGGGAAGGCTCCTGGAGACTCAGATGCATGCACTGGGTGGGAATCACCGGTCAAGCGCTTGGCCCGCACGCCCAGGCAACGACTCTCCCTCCCATCTGTCTCTGAGTCTGTTTTCAGTGTCCCCCTCCCCCCAGTGACTGATTTCAATCCAGGTTTGGGAACCAGAGCTTGAGTGTGTACTGGTTATAAAGCCACTTTGATCGTCTGGCTCGTGACAGATTTGTTTGCTCAGGATTTTGTTCATTGTCTTCCCAGAGTGAGTGGAAACAGGACCGGGAGTGCTGTCCCAGCAGCCCCAGGTGTTCCCCAGAAGAGGCCCTCTGCAGGGACTGACTGAGCAAGGTTAACAGGGTTCCCCGTCAAGCCGAGAACAACAGACTTGGGAGCAGCGTGCAGAGCTAGACACTGGGCTTTTAGGTCTCCAGCACCCAGGCTTCCCAGCTCACCTTCCACAACTGCCTCTTGAACCTTTGCTTCTGCACTGCTTCCACATGCACAGCAGATGGCGCCTTTGTTCCACCTAACATCTCATCTCTTCCAGGACTCTGATCCTCTTCTGCCCTCCAGACAGATGGGAACCTGGCAATCCTGCTCACGGCTGGCAGTTCCTGCAGAGGCCCCCCACTTGCCCTGCTCCTCCCTAGCTTCCTGGCAATAAAGTCAAACTGCTTTTGTTGGAGATGTCGTCTCTTGTGTAGTCTTGATGTTCTTGCTTACAAGCTACACCGTGATGCTCACGTGTTGCTCTGAAGGAGTTCATAGCAGTGCTTGCTTGGGTTGGAGTTCTCAGAGCCCCTGGCCGGGAGTAAGAAGCCCAGTGGATTTTGATTCTTTGCTGTGTGATCTTTTGCAAGTCACCTAATCCTCTCTGGGCCTCACTTTCCCTCATCCATAAAGCGAAGGTGGGGGGTTGGATTGGCGATCTTACTTCTTTTTACTACTCTCCTAGAGTCCATGTTTTGAAAAACGTTTGTCCTGTCAAGTGAATGTCTAGTCTTTTTTTTTGTAGATTTTATTTATTTATTTTTAGAGAGGGAAGGGAGGGAGAAAGAGAGAGAGAGAAACATTAATGTGCGGTTGCTGGGGGTCATGGCCTGCAACCCAGGCATGTACCCTGACTGGGAATCGAACCTGCGACACTTTGGTTCGCAGCCCGCACTCAATCCACTGAGCTACGCCAGCCAGGGAGTGGATGTCCAGTCTTAAGACAGGAGTGGGAAGAGGCAGGGAAGACAGACTGCCTGGGAGAGAGTCCACACACCTCCTAGCTGGGCCACGTCTCCGTGTCCACAGGACAAAAGACACTAATAGCACCTCCTGCCAACAGCGGTTGTGGGGGTTTGATGAGGCCGCACATGTAAGCCAGCCACTTAGAACAGGGCTTGCCACTGAGCAGTCACTCAGTGAATGCTCCCTGTTCGCACATGTAACTGTGTGTCTCTCATCAAAGATGTGTAGGAATGTCCATTACAGTTTCCATCAACCTAATAATGAGGATTCCGACCACCCTAAAAACCAGTGCCTCACAGAGTCGATGCATCTATATCAAAACAAAAGAAAGGTTTCAGTTTGCATAACTCTATTTTTTAAAATCTTTTTAAGAGGACATTTTTTAAAGATTTTATTTATTTTTAGAGAGAGAGAAGGAAGAGAGGGAGAGAAACATCAATGTGTGGTTGCCTCTCACGCACACCCCACCAGGGACCTGGCCCATAACCCAGGCATGTACCCTGACTGGGAATCAAACCAGTGACCCTTCGGCTCGAAGGCCAGCACTCAATCCACTGAGCCATACCAGCCAGGGCTAAATATTTCTTTAAAGCAACAGTTCTCAAACTTTTTCATCCTAAGACCCATTTACAGTCTTAAAAATTATTGAACATCTCAAAGGGCTTTTGGTTATACATAGGCCATGCCATTTTAGAAATGAAAACACTAATTTTTGAGATGAGTACGCAAATATGCATCCCATCAGCCATCAGAACTAGAGGAGGTCATTGCACAGCAAGTCAATTCTGGAAATTTCACTGTATGGCTGGAAGAATAGGGCATCTTATGAACATAGTTTCCACCTCATGCACCTTCTGGAAGGTCTTGGGGACCACCTGTTGAGAATCACTGCTTTAACCCTTAACCATTTATCAGGCAGTGACTGGGGACCCTGGCATAAGACTTGGCTCTGTCCTTGGCCACCTGTGACCTTGGACCAGTCACCTAATCTCTCCCTGGCGGCCGTGTCCTCATCTGCGCAATTCACGATACCTGCACCTCGGGGAACGTGGCAGCCAGAATTAAGAGTTGGCTTTGACTCCAAACTGGGTGCCAGCGTAATTCTGGTTCCATTATGAAATTATTAAACAAGTCTTGGGCATTTCTGCCTCTGTGGTCCCTCTGGGGTACAGGGACTCTCCCAGCCATCGATGCATCGGGGTTCCTTGACCACAAGATGGCAGTGTCCTTTGGATTTACCCATCCTTGGAGGGGTGCCTCTGTGGGCTCTGGGCATGTGAAGTTGAGTTTTTCCATTTTCACAGCTTCCGCCCTCCAGAGACCTGATTTAGGCCGGCTGGCCCATTAGGAATGCCTGAGGGCTGAGGCACCCGTGCCTTCTGGGGTGAGTGGTCCTGGAGGAGCTCCTTTGCTTTGGCTCTTCTCCGCACCACCTCTGGAATCCAGGTTTCCAGCCCAGGCCCCAGGGAAGCTCTCACGCCTGCCCGAAGCCCAGCTGGCTGTCCCTGCAGCACCAGAGATCACACAGCACAGCAGGGTTTCTGCAGGGGTGGGCTGGGAGCAGATGCGTGCTTCCCTGGCACCTCACCCAGCCCACCTTCCCCAGCCTGCTCCTGCTGTGTCTCCCAGGCGTCTCCCCTTTGTCCACGCTGCCCCACTGTACTCGGAGCGATTCTGTACGCCTGCCTTGCCACCTTGGCCTCATCTCCGCATACAGATGGCCTTCCCTCCCTTACGAAGCACAGCCTCCCTGAAACCTCTCCACAGCTGGAAGTAATTTGTCCTCCCCTTGGCCCTCAGCACTTATCCCACCAGCCTCAGTGTTGTGGCAAAGCTTTTGGTGTCTTTCTTGTCTTCCAGGACTGAGCCAGGCATGGCTTCCTTCAGCGCATGGAACAGGCACTAAGACAGTATTTGATGGGCATGCAACAACTGCCATTTGGGGGACATTTGTCTGTCGTGCCGCCCTCGCATTAATCCCATCCCATCCTGTTCGGTCCCTGTGGGCTGACAGTGGACTAGCCGAGCGATGTGAAGCCACGCTCCACTGTCAGCAGGCCTGTATCCAAACTCTGCTTCTGTCACTTGACAGCGATGTGACCTTGGACAAGTCACTGATTCTCTTGTGCAGCTCAGTTGCCTCATCTGTACAATGGGGATCATGATCCTACCTGCCCCAGGTGACTGCTGCGACTTAAATAAGATCCATTTCATGCCTAATGCTTGACGGTGGCATAACACAAATACAGCTTTTGAAAAACTCGATTGATTGATTGATTGAGAGACAGAGCGAGAGAAACACTGATTTGTCACCCCACTTATTCATGCATTCACTGGCTGGTTCTTGTATGTGCCCTGACCCGGGATCAATTAAACCTGCAACCTTGGCATATGGGGGCAGCACTTGAACCAGCTGAGCTACCAGACCAGGACCCAAGTAAAGCTTTTCGTTTGAACAAAAGCTTCGTGATTTTACAGTTTGAAAACTGAAATCTGGAAAGTTCAGCTCTACATCCTTTCGACCATGGCAAACTATGGAAAGTAAAGACGGAACCTGGGGCGCGGCCGGTGTGGGAGGCGAGCGGCTGGTGCCCGGGACGCAGCCCTCTCTGTGGCATTCATTCTCCTTTAATTAGTGCCGGCCTCTTAAAAAGCCCAAGTCTGTAATTTCGGGGGAGTGTCTGTCACAGCTGCTTTTAGACTCCATGTCTTTAGGGCTGTGGCCACGCAGTTCAAGTAGACGAGTTCCCTAATCCACTTCCCAAGGGGGACGGTCTGCTAACCACCTCACTGCCCACTGGAGCTTCGAAATAGAACATCAAAGGCTCTGGAAAGAGGGATGTTATCTCCCATCAGTCCCCTCATCAGGGGTTCCTAGCACCCTAACCCTTTCAGAACTACACATCCCCAGACAGCTAGAAGCAGGCTGCATCCTGGGTAAGGGGGCAGGCTCTGCAGACCGAGGGAGGCAGTCCCAGCCCAGCTGTTTACCAGCTGTGTGAACTCGGGCAAGTTGCTTCACCATCCGGGGCCCTGTTTTCTCATCTGTGTATTAGATGAGAAACCTGAGAAGGTGGAGGTGTAAACTCTACCTTCTGAGACTGAAGTGGGACAATGTGTGCATTCGGAGGGCACTGGGCGTGGCTGTCATCGTTGTCACAGATCGTAGGAAACGAGGAGACCTAGCCTGTCATCCAGCCCCACGCACACACCCCCTCCCTCTCTCTGTGGCCCCAAGTCCCGGCCCGAACGCTGCTCCCGAGAGGGCGTGCCAGGAGCAGCGTGCCTCGCCCTGGACGGCCCCCTGAGGGAGAGTGCTGGGCAGAACCCACCCTTGTCTCCCCCGCTCTTCCCTGGCCTGGACTGGGACTGTGCCCACGCCTTCCCCTTGGGGGTCTCAGAGGCAAAACACGCTTTCCCTTTCCCTCCCCACCACCCCTCTCTGCTCTGCCCCACAAGGTATACCCCAAATTGCCTCGCTCAGCCCTTCCTCAGGGACGAGGCTGGAGTCATCAGCCACGATCACCGGCCTCTTTGTTGATGCCCTTTTGAGAGCGGAAGCCGAGAGCACATGGGCAGCGGGCAAGCAGCTCTGGGCCCCACCGATCCGCCTCGCGCCGTTTCCCGACTCGGCCTGGAAAAGCCCCGCGGGCACACGGTCCTCCAGGAGGGGACCTGGGGGGTTACTTTTCCTCCGCGGCACCTACTTCACAGGTGATGCGCGTGAGGCAGTCAGGAGGTATTTGGTGCTCAATGAAGGCTGTACTCTTAATTCACACTTTTGAGAAGGTTTCTCTGAATCCTACCACTGTGTAAAAGGGCCGTCAGGCAGGCCACACCCAACACCAGACCCGGCATCTGCACCGCCGCTGCCCCTGCTCTGCGCTGCCACTGCCCTTCCCAGGGTCCAATTTGGAAGCAGCCCACGTGGAGAAGGCCGCCATTTGTGGGTATCTGACTCCTATTTTGGTCCCAACAGAAGCTGTGGTTCTCTCTATGTTCCTGATCATTAGAGAGGCCAGAAAAGCCATTGAGTGGTGGGAGGGGCCCCAGGGAGAGGTCGAAGGCTAAATGCCGGAGGCCTCTAAATGGCTGAGATCTCCAAATTCCCCTCCAGGGCCGGGAGACGCCCCGATTTCGCCTGCCAGTCCCGCCCACCAGCCCCGCCCATCAGTCCCTCCCGCCGGCACCTCAGGCCTCTGCCTGGTGCTCAGGCTGAACACCCCCTCGGCCGGCAAGTGTGTAGAATAAGTCTAGAACGTTAGAGCTGGACAGGTCTGTAGTAAGAAAAAGTCTTACTGCCTCAATTTGTTGGTATTATTATTAATGAAAGTATCTAACTTTTGATGATATAAAAGAATTATTTTAAAAATTTAAGTCTTACCTATATATCAGCCTACCCACTCCCCCCACCCCCACCCTCATCCCCCCCCCCACAATCTCCACATGACAAAGAAAACCCTTGCTTTTTGGTGTATAGCCTTCCAGACCCTTTTTAGGCTTACATGGGCGTATATAAGGAAACAAAAAAGGCAAAGCAGTGTAGTGTTTAAAAGTTCAGGCTCCGGAGTGAGACCACGTGGCTTCAGATCCTAGCTCTGAGTCTCACCTGCAAGTTATTCAACCCAGCGAGGCCACTGTCTCCCCATTAGTAAACTGAAGATCATGTGTTCATATCATAGCGGGGTTCTGAGCATCAAACAAGATAGTCCACACAAGTCGTTTTGGCACAGTGGCTGGCGTGTAGAAGACTCAGGAGACATGGACCACTCTATTAGTGTTGATGTTCTGCAGTCTGCTTCTTTAAGTAGATAGTTCATGGACTCATTCCCATCTCAAATGTATTACCTGTAGCTGCTTCTGTGCTTCAGTGGCTGAGTTGAATGAGGCTAAGGCACCCTGTGGCCCACAAAGGCTGACATGTTTACTGTCTTGACCTCCACAGAAAAATGTTGTTGGCCCGTGGTCTGGATCAGCGATTCCACACCGTGGTCTGTGGGAACCTGAGGTTCCACGCAGGCATCTCAGGGAGAAGAGAGGAGTAGGGGGTGGGGCTCCAGTGCACCTGTCTACCAGGGTGGATCCACCAACCACTTAAAGAAGAAATTATACCAATTCTCTCCAATCTCTCAGAGGGTAGAAGCAGAGGGAGAACCTCCTAACTCGTACTCGGAGGCCAGCATTACCTCCATGCCAAAAACAAGACAGAGATTACAAGACAAGAAAACCACGGACAGGTATCTCTCGTGAACACAGATGCACAGATGCTCAACGAAAGATTGCCAAGTCCAGTCCAGCAACGTTTAAACAGAGTCACATACCAGAACCAAATGGACTTGTTCTAGGTGTGCAAAGCTGACTCGGCACTTGAAAATCAATTGGTGTAATCCATCACATCAACGGGCTAAAACAGGAAAATCACACGACCGTGTCTGTAGATGCAGCAAAACCATTTGACAAAACCCAACACCATTTATGATAAAAGCTCTCAGTAAACTAGGGATAGAGGGCAACATCATCACTTGATAGAAAATATCTATCAAAAGGAAAAAAACTAACGAAAAATAACCTCACATTGAATGGTGAGAAACCTGAAGCTTTCCCACTGAGATCAGGTACAAGACAAGGATGTCCCCTTTCTCCACTGATTCGCAACATCGTACTGGAAGTCCTTGCTAATATAAGAAGAGAAGAGGTATACAGATTGGGAACAAGAAATAACGCTGCATTTGTTTGCAGATGAAATGATTGCCTATGTAGAAAACCCAAATGAACCAGGGTTCGGAGACCTTCCAGTTTGGTGAAGACATCCACATACCAGGAGGGTGTGCACCCCAACTCTATTGGGACAGAAGACCCTGTGTGCGCGATCCTCCCTGACCTTCCCCTATCTCTTCATCTCGCTGTTCAAGTGTGTCCTTTGGCATTTCCTTTAATACACTGGAAAATGTAAGTGTTTCTCTGAGTTCTAGCAAATAATCAAATACAAAAGGGAAAGGTCATCATGGGAACCTTGTAGTTAAGTCAGATAGAAGTTGTGGGCAAGCTCCTACTTGTGACTGGCATTTGAGTAGGGGGAGTCTTGTGGAACGGAGTACTTAACCTGTGGATCTGACATCATCTCCAGGTAAACAGTGTCAAAATTGAGTTACGTTGTAGGACACCTGGCCAGCGTGGTGTGGGAATAAACCCACATGTCTGGTGACCAGAAGTGTCAGGAGTGTTCGGTGTGAAAGTAGAGGAGAAAGGCACAGAAAGAGAACTGTGGGTTTTTCTAATGCAGTCATCTACGGCAGTGTGTTAACATGTGTCAAAGCCAGGAGGTAGATACAACAATAGGAACTTTATTATCCTCTATATTTCGTATGCTTGAAATATTTCACAACTTAAAAGATAAACAGACTAGCCCTGGCTAGTGTGGCTCAGTGGTGTGAGTGCCAGCCTGCGAACTGAAAGGTTGCCCGTTCAGTTCCCATTCAGGACACGTGCCTAGGGTTGTGGGCCAGGTCCCGGTGAAGGGGCATGCTAGAGGCAGCCAATCAATGTTTCTCTTGTACATCGGTGTTTCTCTCCTCTTTCTCTCTTCCTTCCCCTTTCTCTAAAAATAAACAGTCTTTAAATACATAAATAAATAAATAATAAATAAAACAGAGTTGACAATATAAATCACAGAACATATTGCCAATAGTTCAGAAGAATATACAATGAAAAACAAATATCCCACTCACTTCAGGTCCATGATCCTTCTTCACAGAGACACTGATTATTACCAGTTTCATATGTACCTGGAAAAGTTTGCAAATGTGACTTTTAATACCTGAAAGAGCTGCTCCACTGAGAAGAATCATTGACCGTCCTCACACACATGGACATCTGGTTCTCCTCACCCATGAGGCCTTCCTTTGGAGAGTCCACCTTGTGACCCTGCATTTTGGACGTTCCATGGAGACCACGCCGTTTCCCCTGTGAGTGGACTCGAACCTGTCTTGTGTGTCTTTTCCAGTTGGCCATTATGTGGGCCTTGCTTTACCAGGGTCAGCTTCTCTGGAGAAGGACTGCTGATCTCTCTGAAGCACCCTCCCCAGGAGCTCCAGAATGAAATTTGCATATGCCAAACAACCTGTATTGTAAGTCAGACCATCGCAAACACATCCTCAAAATGTGATGAAAGTCACTCTGGCCATTTCCTTATGGTGGGGACACAAATAGACAAGAAGCCACACACTTCACTTCGTCACATGGACAGACCCCCTTGCCCCCCGC